TCGCCATCACGGCTCAACCTCGAAGGACTGTTCACTTGTTTACGCGCCTCGACTGCCCCTAACCGCCCCGCCTCGGCCCCCCGCCATGGCCCCGCCTACCCGCCGAATGGTAATATAACTGTAGGGCTGCGTCGCGTAAAGACTTAAGTTGCTCTTCTGAGTACTCGCATGATGGCCTTCTTAAACTATGCTTGTTGTCGGCCTCCTATCGCCCTGGCAATCTACATCTCTATGTCGCAATGTGGAACTGTGGCTTTCGCAAACACATACAATACCTCTACGTTCCAACCCGCCTGCTTGTTCATGTAGTCAAAACAGCTTCTGGTAGTTAGTATCTGATCATCCATTCCTGTCGTGTCCAGCGGGAAGCTCGTCTCCCAGAGGCACTGAGCACACGTTGCTGCGGTTTAGAAGCAGGGACTTCTTCCTGATACTGGTGCCAGCAGCAGGTGCGGACCTACACAGACAGCGGAAACACAGGAACAGATATAACCAATACTGCTACATTAGTGACATGAAAACTGTTTATATCACTGTTATAACATTGTATCACTGTTACTATTGTAACACATACTTACACTGGTCCAGTAGTGCCGTGATTACTACACATGCACGCACGCACACACCACAACACACACACGCACGCACGCACACACACACACCACACACCACACACACACACACACACACACACACGACATACACACACACACACACACACACACACACCGCACACACACGCACTCACGCACGCACACGACGCACACTACGCCACACTGCACGCACGCACAACTCACGCACGCACGCACGCACACACACACACTGCCGCTGCGCACGGACTCACGACACGCACGCACACACACGCCCGCACGCCGCACTCTGCACTACGCGCACGCACACGCACACACACGCACACGCACGCACACGCCACACACACGCACCGCGCGCAACGCCAACGCACAACACTGAGCGGCGCACGCACACACACGTGCACACGGCAGCAGCGTACAACACACACGCACGCACGCATCACGAACACCACCACACACACACAGCATCACACACACACCAGCACACACATCTCGCTCTCTCTCTCTTCTCTTTCTGTCTATCTCTCTCCCTCTCTCTCTCTCTCGTTCTCCCACCCCCTCTCTTTCTTGCTGTCAGCATGTGGCTGTTATTGACCCATTGATTGCTGGTGCAAACATTGCATGTCACCTGTTTTCTCAGAATCACAGCGAGTGAGCCAGCGTGTATTCACTATATACTTACCTGTACTATTACTTACCTGTACTATTACTTACCTATACTATACTACCCTATACTATACTTACCTGTACCATTACTTACCTGTACTATACTAACTTATATTATACTTACCTATACTATACTAGACTTCCGCTGGGACACGACCAAGGAATGGGATGATCAGATCACTAACTACCAGAAGCTGTTTGACTACATGAACAAGCAGGCGGGTTGGAACGTAGAGGTATTGTAGTGTTGCGAAACCACAGTTCCACATTGCGACATAGAGATGTAGATTGCCAGGGCGATAGGAGCGACAACAAGCTAGTTAAGAAGGCCATCATGCGAGTACTCAGTAATAGCAACTTAAAGTCTATTACGCGAAACCCCCCTACAGTATACGCATTCGCGGGTAGGCGGGGCATGGGCGGGGCCGAGGCGGGGCGGTTAGGGGCAGGGTCGAGGCGCGTAAACAAGTGAACAGTCTCCTTCGAGGTGAGCCGTGATGGCGATCGTGTTAAAAATCGGAAGCGCCATTCTCGCAGTCCAATCTCGTGTCTAGTCTAGGTCCCGTGTCATCATACGTCTCGCGGCATTCCAGGCGAAGTTCGGCACGCTCAAGGAGTACTTTGACGCGATCTGGGAGCGTAACGACGTGTTGCCGGGGCAACGGCCACCAGGGTTCCCGGTGATAAGCGGCGATTTCTTCACGTATGCGGACAAGGATGACCACTACTGGGCCGGCTACTTCACGACGCGGCCCTTCTACAAGAACATGGATCGCGTGCTGGAGGCAGCACTAAGGTGTGTGTGTGTGTGTGTGTGTGTGTGTGTGTGTGTGCGTGCGTGTGCGTGTGTGCGTGCGTGTGTGTGTGTGTGTGTGTGTGTGTGCGTGCGTGCGCGCGCGTGCGTGCGCGCGCGTGCGTGTGCGTGCGTGTGTAGCGCTCACGGACTACTGGACCAGTGTAAAGTATGTGTTAACAATAGTAACAGTGATAAATGTGTATAAACAGTGTATAAACAGTTTTATGTACTATGTAGCAGTATTGTTATATCTGTGTGTTTCCGTGTGTGTAGGTCCCACCTGCTGCTGGACCAGTACAGGAAGAAGTCCCTGCTCTACCGCAGCAACGTTGTGCTTGTGCCTCTGGGAGACGACTTCCGCTGGGACACGACCAAGGAATGGGATGATCAGATCACTAACTACCAGAAGCTGTTTGACTACATGAACAAGCAGGCGGGTTGGAACGTGGAGGTATTATAGTGTTGCGAAACGACAGATCCATATTGCGACATAGAGATGTAGATTGCTAGGGCGATAGGAGCGACAACAAGCTAGTAAAGAAGGCCATCATACGAGTACTGAGTAATATCAACTTAAAGTCTATTACGTGAAACCCCCCTACAGTATACGCACGCGCGGGTAGGCGGGGCAGGGGCGGGGTTGAGGCGGGGCAAGCGGGGCGGGTGGGGGCAGGGTTGAGGCGCGTAAACAAGTGAACAGTCTCCTTCAAGGTGAGCCGTGATGGCGATCGTGTTAAAAATCGGAAGCGCCATTCTCGCAGTCCAATCTCGTGTCTAGTCTAGGTCCCGTGTCGTCATACGTCTCGCGGCTTTCCAGGCGAAGTTCGGCACGCTCAAGGAGTACTTTGACGCGATCTGGGAGCGTAACGACGTGTTGCCGGGGCAACGGCCACCAGGGTTTCCGGTGATAAGCGGCGATTTCTTCACGTATGCGGACAAGGATGACCACTACTGGGCCGGCTACTTCACGACGCGGCCCTTCTACAAGAACATGGATCGCGTGCTGGAGGCAGCACTAAGGTGTGTGTGTGTGTGCGTGCGTGCGTGCGTGCGTGCGTGCGTGCGTGCGTGCGTGCGTGCGTGCGTGCGTGCGTGCATGTGTGTGTTCGCGTGTACGTGTGTATTTTTACTGCTACTACTACTGCTGCTGCTACTACTACTACTACTGCTGCTGCTGCTGCTGCTGCTGCTGCTGCTACTACTACTACTGCTGCTGCTGCTGCTGCTGCTGCTGCTGCTGCTGCTACTGCTGCTACGTGTGCTGCTGCTGCTGCTGCTGCTGCTGCTGCTGCTACTACTACTACTGCTGCTGCTGCTGCTGCTGCTGCTGCTGCTGCTGCTACTACTACTACTGCTGCTGCTGCTGCTGCTGCTGCTGCTGCTGCTACTACTACTGCTGCTGCTGCTGCTGCTGCTGCTGCTGCTGCTGCTACTACTACTGCTGCTGCTGCTGCTGCTAGT